AGAATATAAGACCTATGGAGGTGAGGTAAATTGTCCAAAATGTCATAGTCCATTAATAACACCAAAATTCAGAAAAGTATGCTTTATTCAGACCTCAGCATTTTCAACATAAGGAAGACACACAATGGTGGTGGGAGTGATGGTGGTGGTGGTACTGTGTGCATGTGTGTGCACGCGCACGCGCGTGTATATTAATTGACATTTCTCAGGCAACTTCTATAGATTCCTAAAAACAAGACTTGTTTATATGTGTGTGCCTACAGGTGTGTGTGCGCAACGGTGTACACACTCAGTTGAGTCCATTAGAGGGGGTGCTTCTTAAAATAAATGAAGTTAGTCATTCAAGGACAACTGATTGCATGCACAGTATCTATCAGGTACTCCTCTGAGGAGCTGAGGACATTCCAATAAAAAAAAAAAAAAGTACTCTTGCCCTCAGAGAGTGTTATAAGCACATTGTCTCAGCCACAAGATCTGTCTAACCAAATTTCAACTGTCAAATTTACATGTCTCCCGAGAAGTCATTTTGAAGAAAATAAAGATGTGGCAGATTCTTAATCCCCTTAGAGAGTCTCCTTAGACACCATTTACAAATCATTCTTTTTTTGTGCCTATAATTAACAATTGATAATCTCACCAAAGTTTACATGGACACAAAATGCATTTTATAGAAATCACTGAGTATATTTCCCATTCTTTGCTGAGGGAATGACATTGACTGCACTTCCAAATATATGGTAAAACTGTACGACCTTGCAAAAAAAATGGTTGTAAGGACTTATGTCCTATTTCAAACTTAATCCTGTCTACATATTTCGCCTTTTTAATCTATGTCGGTGAAAATGTGAATTTACAGTTACCTCTCAACAAAGACTATCTGTTTTTATTCAAACATGCATTTCATAACTAAAATCAGAGATGATCAATTTAAATGTGCATTTATTGAATGCTTGCTGTGCATGACATATGGTTTCTGATTTTATTCTCACACCAGCCAGTTCCAAGCAGTTCTATTTTACAGATAAGCAAACAGGCTCAGGGAGGCTAAATGGTGCATGTAACATGTGGCCCAGTGAAAAAGCTCAGTATTTGAATCCACTTTGGTTGATAGCAACCAAGTTTCACCTAATTTCTTTGTTATCTTTAAAAAGCACATAAAAAAATAAAATGTATCAAATGCTTATAGGATGTGCATACACAATTTCCATCTCTCCTTAAGAGAAAATGATCAACTTTGGAATACTTTTACAGAATTGATACCAGTTTTAAATTATTTTCAAAAATATCATCAAAACGCAACAGACAACTTCCCAGTCCAACTCTGCTATTTCACAGATATGACATCAAGGATAACAATAATTACAATACTAGAAGTCCTTTTCTCCATGAAGGGAGAAGAATTCCTTAGAGGCATATTGAGGAGATGGACAGAGCCCAAGGCTACTACTGTAGAGAGTGAAATCTTGAACAATGACCATGATTGGCTCCCTCAGAAAAACCACTAGCAAGTTGGTTTTGGAAGATTTGCACATGTAAGCAATAAGACGTGTACATATACATTAAATTATCTTGATCCCATGCATTCTATTGAGGTTTTAGCCTATCACAAAGTAAAGACAGTTTTTTAGGTAATATAGGATTCATCATGAATAGCCTTCTAGTGAATCCAAATCATGAACTTTGGGGTCTTAGTAGTAGTAAAGGAATTTTACACCTTTAACTTAAATTATATAATTGCATAGACTTTGTCTTTATTTTGTGCATTTCAGGTACCCACTATGTCCTATATAGCCAAAAGGATACATTTAATACACAAGAGCCATGCTGTGCAACTTTAAGAACAAAACTATACAAACATGATTTTTATTTTCTCCTAAATTCTCTTCTATGTTTTGCTAATGGTTTTCTATACTTTTTAACATAAATTCATTATTCACAATTTCTGGTCTGGAACAACATTTTATATCTAAAATGATATACTTCAGACAATCTGTCCTGATAAGACCTAAGACAAGGAACCTGACTACTAATGTAAGGTCACTTGCACAATCTCAGGAAGCAAATACAAATTAATTAATCCAAGAATAACCATAACAAACAGCCATCCTTAGAGGGCCTATTATGCTTGGGTTTTGCATAACATTACTTTTAATTCACAAAACAATCCAACAAATTAGATATTATCATTCCCATTCCACAAATGGGAAAATTGAGGGCCAGAGAGATTCCAAGTATTGCCCAAAGGACACAACAATTAAATTGCTGGAGGAACACATCTGCAATGTTAAAAGCAAATCTTGTAATACCTAGCAGATTTGGGCCTGTGCTTCTACCTATTCAAAAATGCTCCTCAGTGGGCACCAGCCTCTGCCTTGATATAAACTGGTCAGGTAAATCTCCAGTTCTACCATAGCCACAGTTCTTTCAATAGCCCATGAATAACTTGCTCTCAATGCAGGACCGGCTCTGGCTGCCAAGTCAAAGGAGCTTCAATCCAAGCTGAGTCTGCGTTCCTAACTGTAATGCTGGTGAAATGATTCACCACATGAAAAACATCCTTAGATGCCCTATTTGTGGAGGAGGGTGGGAGGACACATCTCAGCTCACAGTTTTAAACAGATTCTCTTTCCCTGTCTTTCCTTCCCTCCCTCCTTCTCTCTCAGGAATGTTGCATGTGTGTGTGTGGAAGGTTCAGTGACAGGTGCAATGTCAAAAAAAAAAAAAAAAAAAAAAAAGTCTTTGAGGTCTAACTGGAATAAGCACTGAGGAAATGTTGATGTTAAGAAAAAATTAAAAACAAACAAACAAACAAAAAAACAAAACAAAACCTCCACCAATGGGCAGACCCATCCTAATCCTAATCCTAATCACAAGGCCAGTTTCCCATATGAAGCTTAGAGTTGAACTACAAAGTAGAAAGCATCAGAGTACTTTTTGTTCCCCCTTCTTACTTTTTGGTCTGTTGTGCTAAGTTGTAGCTGATCAGAACCTTAACATAACTTGAGTCCTTCCATGACCACAGATTGTGAACTGACAATGGTCATATAAAACTAAGCAAGCAAGCAAACATACAAAATGATGCTGAGAATTATGGTAAAACTATGCAGAAGACTTTAGGGAAGAGCTCAAGAAATAAACAAGAGTCCTGCAGGAGTGTTTTCATAGGTTGGGAAAGGGATTACCTGAACTGGGTCCCAACTGGAAACAGGTGCCCAGAAAAATAAATTAGAGAAGCACTCAGCTATTGGCTACTTTAGTTAAGGAGTAATAAAAAGAATAAGAATAGGTGCTGTGAGCAAAAGAACAGAGGCAGAGGCTTATAGTGGGGGTATTTCTAGTGTCTGTTACTGCCTCCCTAATATAAATCTAACTCCACAGTTTTTTTAACAATTCTACTAGGTCCACCACTCAACAGGACTGAATGTGCCCAACACTAAAAAGGAACCCAAGGGACAGCTGCTGTTCATCTCCTTTGGGATATGCCAGAGTTGTGGCTCTTATTTAAAAAATAAATAAATAAATAGTATCAAAGCTAGACTTATGTGAATTATGAAAGAGAGAAAGAAAGAAACAAGGAAAAGAAAAAAGAATGAGGACAGAGAGGAGGGAAGAAGGGCAGGAAGGCTGGAGTTTACAATCCTTGAGATCTACACTGGTAGAAGTTTATTTCATTCTCTTGGGACTAGTGTACCCTCCCCTGACCCCTCCTAATAAAAATGGGAGCTGTGGTAACAGAACTAGCCATGCTGTGTATGCCTGACTCCTATCCAGTTTGGGTCTGAAACTTGTCTGCTGTTCTGAGGCTGTTGGTGAGTCACCTGTCTCATACTGTTTGGCCATTAACCAAAGAGTTACAGTTTCTCTAGGCCTCAGATTCTGCTTTTATTGGCATGACATCTCTGAGGACTCTTCTGGCACTAGTTATATGAGTCCATGATTCTGATAGAAGGCCCCAGAGAGGAACAGACAAGCGTGAAGCAGACTTTTGTAATAGAGTTGAGCTCCAGGACTCTGGCAGCTGTTGGGGAGGGAGGAGGTAATCCTGCAAGCCCTCAGGCTCTCTAAGCATTTTCAACCTCTCTTTCATCTTTATTTATTGACCCAACCACCCCTACCCCCAACAAAGCTGGCATATGACAAATATTGGTTCTCAACACAACAAACCTTTCCTTTGGTTCTAATTCTAAGTTACCACAGGACATTAGATTCTGCTTATTTCTCAAGAGCTCTGTCCTAGTGATGGCTGGGAAGATTTCTGACATAACCCAAGCCAATTGCCCAAGTCCTTTACAATTATGTGCAATCTATTAGCCAAGGAAGCCATCAGTGAGAAGGGGGTTCTGTTGAAGAGAAGTGGGTCCTCCTTATTTCATTCTTAGCCCTGGTGAGAACCCTGTAAGGTGAAGACCATATTTAGAAGTGTGTGTGCAAGAGAGACTGTGCAAAGTGCAACCACCCCTTTCCACCAGTTTCCTCCCCCATGCCTACTCTCCAGCCTACAACTCACCCACCAGGCAGAAGCCATCCTTCACCTGCTTGGTTTATTATCATATTTTTGTGTGAATACATTCTGTTGATCTGCAATGTCAGATTGGATAATGAAATTTAAATTGGGTCCCTTGGATTTCCAATAGCTATACTTTTGTGCTTCTAACTCTGGTGCTCCCATGTAACTTGAATATATTCTAGAGTGTCAATCACACAGTACCAGCACCCCACACTGCAGCAGCTTTCTTGGGGATATATTTTTTTTTTTTTCTTACTGAACATTTGCAAAAGCGCTTCCCCAGGATGCAGACAACCTGCATCATTATAGCAAACCAGCTTATCGGTGAGCACAGCCTGATGGAGCAAATGCGAGGGCCACTCTGTCCCTTATTTTCTGTGCCCCAGTAGCCAGATCTTTTAAAAACCACAGGAGAAGGGGATATAAGGAGAACAAGAACACCAAATTAATGAACATTGTTTTACAAATAAATAAGAAAATAAGGATCACTCACTGTATTTCAGACTCATCACAGCAACATCCAGATGGAAATCCAGGTGGTTAAGAACAAGAGAAAACGCATGATCTTGACACCAAAATGAGAGGGAGGGGAAAAAAAAAAAAAAGGTTGATAAAAAAAATCCAACTGCAATTATCCGTCAATTTTAGTCAACATAGGCACAAATCCAACTGTGCTTTGCTGGTTTCTCTCCCCCAATCAATGCCTCATTCTGCCGCGGTCAACTTTTCTTCTCTGAAATTTCTTTGCAGATGTATTATTAATTTCCTCTCCTCTTGTGGGAAATTCAAAAAGAAAAAAAAAAACAAGAAGAAGAAGAAGAAGATGATGATGATGATGAAGAACCACCATATCAGGTCTTTACTTTCCTAAAAAAGCCCCAAACTTTTCACTCCAAAAATATCTCCTTGGCGCACTTTCTCCTTTATAGAGAAAAATGAACATACTTTTCCTTCGTGGATCCGCGTTTTTTCATTTCCAATCATCCTTTTGGGGAGGGGGAGCAACTGTCTTATTATTATTTATTTGTCAGAAACACACCAATTCCCGCGGGTCTGCCACTGGCTTATTTCATTTTTCAACGCTCCCGGTGTGCACATACACACATTTGGGTTAAGATCCAGGTCTCAGAAGAAAAAGCTTCGTTCTTCCTTCTCTCTGGCACGATCAGTTTATCCACTGCGTTCGGCTCCCAGAGAGAGCTGCGTCCCGCATTCTTCATTTTTGCAAGGCACCCAGCAGCCACCGCCACCAAAAAAGTCACCTCTTACATAGTCGATTCCTTTTTCTACACCCCCCTTCCAAGAATTTGGGGATCAACTCCCCCCACTCGCTACCCTTCCGGCCGGCCCCTTTGCCAAAGATCTGATTAGATTTCGCATCACAACCCAGTGCGCAATTGGATTTTTGATTTCAGCCACCCGGCCAGCCACCTTCCCCTCTCCCCTCGAAACTCCCGGTTATATCCTGTCTCCTTCCCTCCACCGCCTCTGCAATTTCATAATCTCACGTTAAATGGAGTGCGGGGGGCGGGGGCGGGGGCGGGGGCGGAGGTAGTGGAGGAAAATTTCAAGGCTCCGTCAGCTGTCAAGAAATCCATTCCTCCCCCCCGCTACTTTTTTTTTTTTAAAGGCTCGGGGTGGCTTTCACTCTGTCCCCGCCCCCACCCCAGCACCCGGTCCAGATCTTCCAGGTGTGGCAGAACTCCGCGATCAGGGCCAGGATCACGGGGGAGACGCGTGATGCGGTCCCTCGCCGGTGGCCCCTGCCAGCACCCAGGTCCCCTTCTCCTCCATCAGCGGACAGCAGATCCAGGGGCGCCAGCGATGGAAGTTCGGACTGGGCTTTTATTTCAAATGGGGAAGGCAGTGGTGGGACCGACGCGGTGTGGAACAAATTTTTAAAAGAAAAAAAAAAAAGGAAAAAAAGAGAAAGAATAAAAAAGAAAGAAAGAAGAAACAGGAACGAAGGTTTTTAAAAAGAAAAAAAAAATTCCCTAATCGCTGGCTCCTCTCATCCTTCTCGAATGAAACTGCAGCTTTGATCTCATTTCCAGCTGCGTTGGGTACATTTTGGAGCCACAAGTTGGTTCCTCTTGGCGCAGACCTTTCCGACGCCGGCAGGTCCTCCGCGAGGAGACGCGTTGTCAGGCGCACAGCCGCTCCGCGCCGACCTTAGCGCCATCGCCCTGGTTGGCGGCTCCCTACTCCGCAGAAACCCCGGTCCCCTTCCATCCACTTCGGCCGGAACCCTCTTCTTACCCCTTGCTCTCCTCCCTCCCCTCCTTTTTCCTCCAAATAAATAAATGCGCTTCCTGCGCCGGCTGCAGCTGCCTCCAGTCTAGGCTTTCTCTCGACCAGTTCTACGTCCTATCATTTAGGGTCCTTGCTCCCCAAAGGCTCCCTTTCGGACTGCAGTCCCCTTCCCTTCTCTTCCCCTCTTTCTTTCCCCTTTCCCTTTCCCTTTCTCTGCTAGTGATCAGTAAAATACAATTACCCAATTACCTCCCATCATCTTAGCAGTGATTGGTCAATTGCATTAACACTTGAAGTCAGGGAAGAGGGGGTTGGAGCCTCTAAGGTGTGGCACTGCTGCCACCTGGAGGGCAGAACCGGAACAGCGGCATTTCAAAGCACCCCCCCCCCCCCCCCCACACACACCCCCCACCACCATGCACACACACCCCATGCTAGGAGGTTAGTATTAGGCAAAGAAATTCAGGCTGTGAGGGAGAAGTTGTCCGTTTTTTTCAAAAAGCCTGCTTGTTTTCATCCGGAAAGCTAGGAGTTTTGAACTACAATGTGGAAGATATTGAAATCAAGTCACCATTAGGATTCAAAATGATCACCAAACACACAAAGCTGTTACTTTCAGATTGCAAGGTGAGAGCCTCTTGGAAATGAAGCAGGCTGGTCCCAAGGCAGGGATTAACATAGTACTATTCTTTAGAACTGGTTCCTCAGAAAGAATCAGAAGTAGCTCAAATGCTACTGGGGAGGGAGCCTGTGGTTGGGCAGAATAATCTCACCAGAAGGAAGCAACTGTAAAGGCCAGATAGGAGCCTTCAGCCTATGCAGTGTTGCAATAAATTGGCCTGTTCAGTTTGTACAAGACATCCACGACAGCTTGACAACTCAATTCCACATCCCTTGCTCCTAGATGTGGGCTTTCCCATCACCTAGAGTTAGGGAGGCAGTTGGCACATTTCAACTTCACTGGTCTCCTAAGAAGAAGGGACATGACCCACAAAACAAAGATATTCACACTATGTTTATATTTGCTTTCTCTTTCCACTATGTAATACTTATAAGGTCCTTTCTATGAACTATGGTTGTTCCTTTTATGTCATTCAAATAGGAAACCTTGAGATTAGAAGTGCATAAAACTAGGAATGATAATTCAAAGGACAACAAAAAGTTAAATCTGTGGCGAAGGGGGGAGTTGATAAATATTTCTGTTTCAAATTTTCTATATAATGATCTTTGTGCTGATTTTCTTTGTTTTTGAGAGATCAGAGTATGTACTTAGTTTTAAAACAAAGAGAGCAAACCATTATGAGAAGTAGCATCAGTCAGAAAAGCCTTTTTACTAAAGGACCATCAGAGGCATATCCAAGTTCATACCAAATGTTCTTTCTACTTTTTTTCCTGTTTCCTTTATAGTACAATATATAATCCCATGCTCAGACTTTAAAAAATTTTCATCTATAAGTTTCTTAGGGGGCTAAAAATTTGCTGTAATATGGACCTTAGATATAATAACCTGCAAACAAAAGACCTTTCTTCACACATGGATTGTAATTCATTAAAATCCCTCCACCTTTTTGAAGGTTTTCATGTAATTATTAATCATGTCAAAATGCATATCTGTTGAGGGGGATAGGCATTGCTTCTATTTTTAATAAATGCTGCACTGATTGAAAACATTAATAGGCAGCTGAGTACAATTTCAATTTTTGGGTTTTATTAAATATTTTTGATCTGAAGGGCAATTTTTTAAGAATTTTAATTTTATGTGGTGTTGATGATCGAACCCTGTGCCTCCCACATGCAAGGTGAATACTCTACCATTAAGATACAACTCCATCCCTAATTTGTGTTTTTTGATTGCAGCTTATCAACAACTAAACCATTGAAAAGCATATTCACTATCTTCTCTAGATGGCTTCAGAGGAGTCTACACTCTGTTTCGGAACTATGCTGGAAAACATGAGAAATAAAAATGTATATTTTAGGGGTTTTGACTGCAAGGGAAAAGGCCAGTGATTTGTTTATTCAGAGCTGGTTAATAGCTATCTACCAGACATCTTTAACACCTCTTAGAATGAATTAATCTATTGAACAAAAACAGCAGGGAAGTATCGGTGTTAGTTAATCAAAAAGGAAAAGCAAGGAGTCCTCATTCCTGTTAGCTATCACACTGGCAGCAGCTGCAGTACCTTTCCCCACATCTGCTATTTATTTGCACTATAAGAACTTGACTTAGTTATTTGACTTTCATTTTTAGATTTAGCTTCAACTGATAATTATATGTACAATATGTTGCTAGATTTCTCACATTAAGCCCACTGTTAAGGATTGGGGCAGGGCATCCCACCCTCAATGGAAGGTCCCTGCAAAGTTATATAACACAAGAGAGTGAAGAACCAGGGTGGTCATCACAGTCAACCACACCGTCTATCTCTGACATCACCTTATTTAATACTCAAAGCCACCTCCTGAGAGGTTTTGAGGGTGTGGAAAGTGAAATGCAAAGTCACATACTTGGTAAATGACAGCCAAGCTTTGAACCCAGACCTATGCAATTTCTAATTTTCTAGTTTTGCTTTGACTTCTAGGTTGTGGGTAACATGGGGAATGCCTCTAAGATAGCCAGAATCACACAGTCATCAGCACTGATTCCTAGAGATGAACTTGTAACCCTGTGGGGAAACAGCATTGTCATTGAATGACCTTACTAAAAAAAAAAAAAAAGAAATAAATAGTGAATAAACTAAATGTCATAAAAATACAGGAGCAAATTTAATCATTGTTAAGAACAATGTAAATATAGATAGTTATACAGTAGAGGTTGCTAGGTACTGTCAATAATGACAGGGTCTGTGTTCAGGTAAAATTCATCATAAAAGCTCTGTTAGAAGAAATAATTGTCTAATCAGTAATTGGTCACATCTTCATACTCTCAATTAGTCTGTCTAGTTATCAGGGAAAGGACAAAATGCCATTGGAATGAGATGAGTTGGAAAAGGAGAGGCAGGGGTCAGCATGACATGTTTGTCCCATGGACATACAGAGCTCCACCCCGATTCTCTGATTTCCAGACTTTTGAGTAGTGAAACACAATTATCAAATTATTTTACTGTGTCTTGGTGACTCTAACTGGTGTAATCTTTAGCAAACAGCAGGGGACAGTATCTTGTAATCAGAAATACAAAATAGGAAATAGAATGAATTCAGTAACTTTGCTTAAAAATTAAAAATATAGAAGTGTGTATTGTGTTTATTAATTAGATTTAATAGTCTGTAGGCTACTCTATTGAAGAATAATACATTCTTAAGCAGTGAAGCTTTATTCTGTGTTATTAATTCTGGAAATTGATATTCACTTTTTACTTCCAACACTATTACACTAGGACCAGAATAGCCTGTAAAATAAGTGCATCAAGCTTGC